AGTTTAATTTATTGTTGTCTTCGACTCATTTGCATTCAAATCTCCAATGCAATAATTTGTCGCTGCAAATAGACACACACGCACACACACACACTCTTAGAATTGCTCGCAATCATTGAATGCATTGAAATGTTCTTTTATTATAATTTGTAATGCTCCAAAACCTATTCTATTCACACACAGAGAGACTTACTGATCAAACTACAACATTGTATTCACTGGAACATTTTTCTAAAGATTTTTTACAATAATAAACTAAATTGTGTGCAAAAGCAAACGGAAGGCAGAAAAAGAAGAATACAGAATAGGAAAAAAAGAAAACTGTTTGAAAATTTCCACAACAATACAAATCAAATGAAAATATTCATTGTTGTGGCCTTTAATGTTGGAAGTGTGTGTGAATGTTTGAAAATGTTCACTCGATTCAATAGACTGCATTGTATGAGATATAGTATGTGTATTCTCTATTGAATGCCCAAAATCTTGCAGAATTAAAACGTATGAAATATAATACAGTTGCCTTATCTTATATCATCATATATATGGACATTGCCATTCTTTTTATAGTATATCGACACATTTATCTCAAATCCCTTAAGATCCGGAATTTGGCATAGCTTGATAAATAATGGAATATATTTATTATTATTCTGTAGATATTTTTTATCATTCAAATCAGTTCACTAGAATTTGACGGTTTCTCATTGTAAGAAAAATTCTAGAGGGATATACTGATTTTTTTTTAATTTCATCTAGATTTGCTACGTGAGTAATGAAGCGATTTTTTAAATAATACTATTCACTGCAGATTAATTCTGCTGTTTTTTTTTTTTTTTTTTTTTTTTTTTTTTTTGGAAATTGGCCCGTCGGAACAACTTTAAAGTGTCCAAAGCATTTGAGTCCCCCATGTCTTAAAAACCCCTCGATGATTTCGTAACTTTACAGTTTCTGGAAAATTGACACGTTCAAAACCACATTAAAGTGTCTTTATCTCTTATCTTTAAAGCTCTGGAAATTTGAATAATCCCTGAGTCAATTGAAATTTAACTCTTTGAGAAACCCCTTAAAGTGCCCGTAACTCTTGGAAATAACCTCGTTAGAAACCATGTCGAAAGTGAAATTCTTGACCGCTTCTCTCTTTTCTTAGCAATTATTAAAAACCGCTCAAATCTTGGATCGGAAACAGCAATATTGGAAAACGGTATCAGAATATGTGGGTCGATATGTTTCAGTATCGCAACTGGGATCTAAGCAGACTACATATTTGCTATATTTTATTTGCAAGTGAGCGGGAGTCTTAAAATGGTACGAGACTTACAAGAAGATCGCCTTTTTTTGATCTGATGTAGCATCATAGAAGAAGTTACAAAGTTCGAAATGTAGTAAAAGTGTATGGGTGAAAACGGGAGGAAAAAAAAGTACAAAAACATTAAGTTCGGCCGAGCCGAACTTTTGATACGCTGCACCAGTGGATAAAGAAAACATTTTTATATAGAAGCATCTAAATTCAACCGAGTTCCACTTTAAACCACAACTACCATGGATAATGTAGTTAAACTTAAAAAACAAAACGTAAAGTGAGTGAGTCCTTTATATGGGGCCATACCAAAATTTAGACATTTAGACAACTTTATACTACAAGGATTGTTTTATATTGCAAGTCTTAAATGCCAATTTTGAAAAAAAAATCCATGGGTTAATGTGACAAGGATTATCAAAATACAGAATATCAGTGGGTATCATTATATGGCGGCTATAAGAAACATGGACCTAATATTCTATGTTCTGCCACTGGAGTGAAAACTAATTATGACCTACATATACCAATTTTTAGACAAATCAGAGGAAAATGTCGCGAACATCATCAAAATATCGAATATCGGGAGATATATGGGGCTATACGAAAACGTGGACCTATACATGCAATGTTCCGCCAGTGAAACTAGAACCCATTATAACTTACATAAACCAATTTTTAAACAAATGCGTGGAAAAATGTTGCGAAAATCATCAAAATACCGAATATCTGGAGATACCTTATATGGCGGCTATACCAAAACGTGGAACGATATATTTGAAAAAACTGCAACCACCACTGTGAAAATTTGTCCAGTTGCAGCTAATTATATTGTTCACAAGCGTACAAAAGCATTTTGGTGAGAATTTTCCAGAAAAAAAATTATTGGTGATGGAATTGAAGCGTGATAGTGTGATTTCTTTATATTTGGCTGGAAAACCACAAGTGGCTATCGTTCAAGCACTTCAGCATTTAAATGTGAATAAATCGTTTATATCTCGTACAATCGCTCGTTACCGTACTGGTAGCGTAGGCCGACATCAAGGAAGTGGACAGAAGAAAACAGCAACATCAGCAGAAATGGTTCGAAAAGTAAAAAAGCTACTTGATCGAAATCCGCGTCGCAATGGCCTAAAACTGGCTGGTGAGCTGAACATTTCGCAATATTCCATTTGTCAAATATTGAAAAATGAGCTCGGGGTAAAGCCATTGAAATTCCAAAAAGTGCAAACCTTACACCGCAACAGCAAGAAAATAGACTCGAAAGAGCTAATGAGTTGCTTCGCTTGGCCAAAAGTGGTGAACTGTCTAATTTGATATTCTCTGATGAAAAAAAATTCTTTGCCCAGTAGTTTGTGAACAAACAAAATGATCGTGTTTACTTGCCAAAGAGGTCAGCTAAAAATTGGCACCTTCGGTTGGCCACCAGAACTCAAGCGCCGGCCATGATGATGCTGTGGGCCGCCGATGGTCGCTCTCCGCTCGTATTAATCGACCGTGGCATCAAAATAAATGGGCACGCAAACATTTTGGCCGCAGAACTTGGACATTCCAACAGAACTCAGCACCATTGCACTCAGCACGCGCCATCCAAGAATGGTTACAAAATGAGGTTCTTCGCTTCATTATCAGCGCACAATGGCCACCAAAATCTCCGGATACCAATCCGTTGGACTATTGTGGCTGGAGTATTTTGGAAGGCGAGATTGGCACTTAAAAATACCAAAGTGTCGATCACCTCAAGCAAGCGCTCCGCCGGGAATGGGCCAAAATACCGCAGGGCAACATTCGGGGCAGCGTGTGACGGTTTCATGGTCGTTTGAAGGCCACAATTCGTGTCAAAGGTGACCAATTCGAACAAATCTAAACTTATTCTAAAATTTGATGCTATTTCCGACATTTTTTGCTTTCACTCAATAAAATGAAAAAAAAAAATGTACAAATGATAGCATTTGACTTTGTTTACGGTTTTTTTATCTCACGCTGTAGGGAGGTACAGGAGTTTTTTGATTATTTTAGCTACATTTTTTAATGGAATTGTCGCAAAATCCATACAAGAAGCTCTTTCTAAGCATTTTATTCCTTGGAAGGGAATTGTATTTATATCGTATATCCGTATTTGGAGTTTCCAATGGAACTCCTAAAGCCTAGATGGAAAATTGTCTATGCATGTCCAGGGCTTCGCATAGCCCCTATAAAACGTATAGCCCCTATATTCCGTACTTTGACGATTTTTGCGACCTTATTCGCGGAATTGTTTCATATTTCGTATTTGAAGTTTCTAATGGATACCGCAGTCTGTGACAGAAAATTGTTTATGCAGGTCTTGGTGTACGTGTAGCCCCCATATATCGGTATCTCCCGATATTCGGTGTTTTGATGATTTTAGCGTCATTATTCACCGAAGTAGTTTCAAATTACATAGTTAGAGTTCGTAATGGGAACTACAGTCCGTGACACAATTTTTTTCTTCAGCTCCAGGCTTTCGTATAGGCCCCATATATCACTACCTACCTATATTCGATATTTTGACGATTTTAGGTACAATACTCATCGAAATTGATTGAGATGTCGTATTTGAAGTTACAGCCTGTGACAGAAAATTGTCTATGCAGATCCAGGTCTTCGTATAGCTCCGATATAACGGTACCTCCCTACATACTTTATTTTGAAGATGCTACCTTATACCCCTTTATAATATGGCAATGGCTTATAATACACAATGACAATGGCTATGTAGATCCACATCGTATAGACCCTAATATAACGGCTATATTCGGTATTTCTAAGATTTCAACAGAATTTTAAACTGATTTTATTTTTTAAAAATTTCCAAATTCGTTCCAAATGGTGGATGATATTGAAAGGTCGGCCCCGCCGAACTTTATCCTTTTTTACTTGTTAAAAATTGTAATTGAATGTGTAGTATAATGTAGTCAATCCTTGCTTTGGACGGGTTGAATTAATTAAAACACTCCCTGCCAGATTTGTTCACAAACTCAGAGGTTATCGAAAAAAATGACAGTATTCTCGTTTTATATAACACTATAAATATTTACTATTTTATCGGAATTTAGCAAAATTTTAAAACATTTTTGTGAGTCACTGTAAAACAGAAACAAAAGAGCGTGTGGGCAATGGAGATAAATTGTGTCCGTGTGTATGTGTGTTACGTTTCGAAAGCCTTTCAAACATTTTGAAGAAAATATTTTTTGCACTTGACAATTGAAGGCATTTCGAAATGGTTGCTACCTCCTCCATGCAGAAATGCGGATGTCAAGCACAACGGAAATGATTGGTTTTGTATGTTTTGAAAATGTTCTCGATGTTGTCGGGTTTTTGTTGTCCTTTTTTCTTCCTTGTAACGCCCCTAGTTTTCTAAACAAGGTGAAATGTTGTCCCCGTAAATTTGTTATCGTTTTTTTTTTTTCAGTTTTCGTATTCAACAGTTGACATTGAATGACTGAGCTGATGGTTAGCCAACTTCCTGTACAACAACAAAAATATAAGCAACAACAGCAAGGAATGTGTGTTTAGTTCTGTTGACAAAACTGCATCATTGAATTTCTTCTTCTCCTGTCATTGGAGATGTTGGGTGGTTATGTTGTGCTTCTCTCTTTTCCCATATTTCTCTGTTACTGGCATTATTGTTTATTAACCAGGTGCTGTTGTCGTTGTTGTTTAGTTCTCAAAAAGTACCTACCTGACCATCGTTGTCCTTGTCAGCCTTTGAGCGCAGACCTTCCCAAATTTCCAACATGACAGTGTGGATTTCCTTATTCTTTGGCGTATCCTTAGCCCAGCCACGTAGTTGGCAAACACGCTGCATCATCATCCATGGCAGGTGAGATAGGTTTGATTAATACACGGAAGTGGCAATCATGTAAAGAGAGAGGGGAAGAGAAGAAAAATATAAAGTTAGTAAAGTGTGAACATAAATGCAAATATAGAAATGAAGTTGGAATTGTAAAAAATGTAGTTGAAATGTTAGATCAGTGAAATTTGCAGGTGACAAGAAGAGGAAGATGTTGTTTGTTGTATTTCCAGAATTCAAATTATGAAAGGGTGACGCTAGAATTGTATATTATGTTGGGGCTGGTCCATCCCATGGTAGCAAAAAAACTGTCTGTATTGGAAGAGCATAGCAGGAATTCTTAAATGTATCAAGGCGGTAATTTCTAAATTTCGTAAATTTATATTTAGAATATCTAGATCTCGCACTATTGGTACAAAATATGAAATATGATGTATATTTTTAGAAATAAGTACAAAACCAGTAATGAAAAGTCAAAAGTCGGGCGGGGCCGACTATATGATACCCACTATGCATATTTCGTGGAGCTCCCGTAACAAAAGAATTTATTTCAAGTAGATCATACCACTTATCAACATTTGGCTTTCGATCACTTGAAGAAGGGTTATATTAAACAAATATTTGTCGGAGCCGGAACAAAATGGCAACGTACGTTCGAATTTCACTCCATTTGGGCTTATATTAGCCATTATTTGCACAATAAACCTGAAGTCGGATTAAGTATATATATGGAAGCTATATCCACGGCTATGACGTTCTCGATAATAAGATATCTGATACCAAATATCATCGTTGTCGAATGCACCAAATCGGGTGAACCATATATATGGGATTTATAACTATATCTGAACCGATTTTTTCCTATTTTATTTTTCTTGCTTCCAGTCCGAATTCGGTCGGATGTACCAAACTTCAGGACTTTTGGAATGATATTGGCCATTAGGTACACAATAAATCCGAAATCGGTTAAGGATATATATGGGAGCTACATCTAAATCTGAACCGATCTTGACAAAATTTGATAGACTTATTTCAGGGCTGTAATTGATATCTGGTGCCGAATATGATTCTTAAAAATGAATATTACGCATGTAAGGGACTTGAAACCCCAAATCGGCTGAAACATATACCGATTTTCTCCAAATTTGATTTTCTTGCTTCTAAACTGAATTTGGTGGGATGTACACAAATACAGACCATTTGGACTTATATTAGCCATTTTGTTCACAAATAACACGAAATCTCAGGATAAGGTGAAAAAACTGCAACTAACTTCCGACTGCTGTCATTTCCAAGCGACTCATCCGACAGCTGTTAAAATTAATCCAGTGACAGCTCATTATATTGTTTACAAGCGTACAAAAGCATTTTGGTGAGAATTTTTCAGAAAAAAAGTTATTCGTGATGGAATTCAAGCGTGATAGTGTGATTTCTTTCTATTTGGCTGGAAAACCACAAGTGGCTATCGTTAGAGCACTCCAGCATTTAAATGTGAATAAATCTTTTGGGTCTCGTACCATCGCTCGTTTTCGTGATACTGGTAGCGTAGCCCGACGTCAAGGAAGTGAACGGAAGAAAACAGCAACATCAACAGAAATGGTTCGAAAAGTAAAGAAGCGACTTGATCGAAATCGGCGTCGCAGTGGCCTAAAATGGCTCGTGAGCAGAACATATCGCAATATTACATTGGGCAAATATTTAAAATGAGCTCGGGGTGAAGCCATTGAAATTCCAAAATGTGCAAGAGCTTACACCGCAACAGAAAGAAAAAAGACTCAAAAGAGCTAAAGAGTTGCTTTGCTTGGCCGAAAGTGGTGAACTGCCGAATTTGGTTTTCTCCGATGAGAAAACATTCGTTGTCTAGCAGTTTGTAAACAAAAAAAATTGATCGTGTTTACTTGCCAAAGAAGTCAGCTGAAAATGTGCAACTTCGGTGGGCACCATAATTCAAGCTCCGGCTATGGTGATGGTGTGGGACGCCATAACAGCCGATGGTCGCTCTCCGTTTGTATGAAGAGACCGTAGCATCAGAATAAATGCCGAATATAATCGCGAAAATATTCTGGTGGGTGTATTAAGGCCTTGGGCACGTAAACATTTCGGACCTTGGACATTCCAACAGGACTCAGCACGCGCCACCCAAGAATGATTACAAAATGAGGTTCCGCGCTTCATTCGCCACCAAAATCTCCAGATACCAATCCGTTGGACTATTGTGTTTGGAGTATTTTGGAAAGCAAGGTTGGTACTAAAAAAAAGTGTCGATCACCTCAAGCAAGCTCTTCGCCAGGTATAGGCCAAAATACGGCAGTGCAACATTCGGGCAGCGTGTGACGGTTTCATTGGCCGTTTGAAGGCTATAATTTGTGCCAAATTTGACCAATTCAAACAAATCTAAACTTATTCTAAAATTTGATGCTATTTACATTTTTAGCTTTAATTCAATAAAATTTCAAAGAAAAAAAAAAACAAAAATTATGGCGTTTGACTTTGTTGCAGATTTTTTTATCTCTATATATATACAATTTTGAAATTTTATTTTTAGATTACTGATGGTATCTGTGTTTGAGATTTGGGGGTGGCTTAGAAATTCGTCCTATATTTGTACGAAAAGTACTAAATTTGGTATTGAGTGATGAAATGGGGCTGAAGTCCTGAAATTTGACAATTTGTTTGTATTTGTGATTTGGCTATGGAGGTGGCTTTGGAAATTTGTACTCAAATTGTATGAAAAATACTAAATAGTACTAAATGTGGTATTGGGTAAGGGATACAGCTCGAATCCTCAAATTTGATATTAATGTTTCTGTTGGTATCTGAAATTGAGATATAGAGGTCGTTTTGGTAATGTGTACTATTATTGTATGAAAAGTATTAAGTGGTATTAACTTTGCTATTTTGTGAAGTAATAAGCCTGAAATCCTCTGTTGGTATCTGGGATTTAGATATGGAGGTGGTTTTGGAAATATGTACAGTATCTGTACGAAAAGTACTAAATAGTACTAAATTCCATATTTGAATAAGGGATACATCTGGAATCCTCAAATTTGACGGTGAGTTCTCTGTTGGTATTTGCGATTGGAATATGGAGGTTGCCTTGTAAATGCGTCCCATATTCGTACAAAGTACTAAATGGTACTAAATTAGGTATAGAGCTAGGATGCAGAGGTTGTGTGATAGTCCTTACAAGTAATGAGAGAAATGGCTCATACGGATATAATTAGTTTGCAGTAATGGTTTAGATGGTCTAAAAAGCCGGGGACGTACCCATGGTGGGCGCTCTTGGGGCCGAGCCTGCAATTTTTTGTTCATTTTTCGTGGGAATTTTATTTTTTGGTCATTTTCAAAATGGTTTCGGAATAGGTTTCTGTGTACGTTCCTGCAGCAGTTATAGATATTTTCTTATGTTTAGGAGAAATCAATCTAGCTTCCGAACGAAATGAAGTAAGTTGATAAAAATTTACTCAAATGTGTATTATTATGTCTGCAGGACTTTTGGTATTGAAAATGGGTCATGTAGGTCCACGTATTCGTATAGCCCCCATACAACGGTACCCCCCGATATTCGGTATTTTGATGATGTTAGCGACATTTTTTCCGGAATTATTTCAAATTTTATATTTGAAGTTCGTAATGAATACTATAGCCTATGACAGAAAATTGTCTGTGCAGGTCCACGTTTTATTACCCCCATGGTACCTTCCTATATTCGGTATTCTGATGATTTTAGCTACATTATAAACAAATTTTTTTTCAAGTTTCGCATTTGAATATTGCAATAGCTTATGACAAAAGTTGTATATGCAGGTCCACGTCGTCGTATAGGCCACAATATAACGGCTATATTCGGTATTTTTAAAATTTTACCATGATTTTCAACCGATTTTATTTATTTTTTTTTTTCAAAATTTCCAAATTTGTACCAAATGATGGAGGGAATTCAAACTTCGGACCGGCCGAACTTACTGCTTTTTTACTTGTTCATTTTAGAAATATGGCGGCTTAACAAGCTATGAAAATGTATGAAAGTTTCAATTCCATAACAAGATTTAAGTTTTCCAACATCTCATAATTTTTTTTATTTTCCAAAAAAAAGTTTTCCGATTTTTCAATCTTCTCTTGAAATTTCCCATTTTCTCTTGATTTGAATTTCTTCGAATAAATCTTTTCATACAACACGCATTTACATTCCAACTCAATTAAATGAGAAATATCGAACATAATACAGAGACAGAGAATTGTCGATGACATGATTGAGTGACGAAAAAATAAAATGAAATAGAAAAAAAAAAAAAAACAACAGCAACAACTTACCTCAATGGCCAATTCGAAATCCTTAATGTCAATTTCACCGCTTTGATTCACATCTGTTATAGTTTTCATGATTTGTTTTTCCGATTTTCCGTTTTTTTGTTTTATATTGATTCGTATGGAGGTTTGTGCATTTTCAAGTGGACATAAAATCAAATTACCAGTCAAGCCAAAGGACATTGTAGAAAGTGGCATGGCATGGCATGAGGCGAGAGAATAAAATACAAACACAAAATGTCAGTGTCAGGGTGCCAATATATCGCCCCCCAAAAAATGCCAGCCAGATGTAAAGATGAATACATTTTCAAAGCAATATTTTGCATATTTTCAATTTTTGTGTGTGAGTTGTTTGTTTTTTTTTTTTTTGGTCGTCGTGAGTTTGTTTGACATTATAATATAAATCCAATGGCAGCGCAAAATATCCAACATTCCATGGGCAGGGACGAGGAGAGGAGGAGGAATGGACGACAATGCCACAGGACAAACAAGGCATCCAGCCATAGACAGACGGTCCGACAAATAGTTGAATATTTATTTCGTGAATTGGTAGTTTTTGTTGTCGTACAAGCAAAGTTATGCCACACATAGTTCCGTATCGAGAGAGTGTAGGTATATCGTGTTGGCAATAATAAAAAATTTGGTGTTGAAAAACCCCGGCAACACGAGGAAACCATCAGCAACAGACAGCCAATTTTTTTCCACAAGATTTTGTTGTTGTTATTTTTATTTGAGTTGTGTTAGAGATTTTGTTGTTAGGTTGCAGAATATTGTTGTTGCGTATGATAATGTTTTCATTTTCCCATCCGAATATCGAACATATTGGCGAGAAATATTTGCGAAGAGGTCAGCCAGCCAATGGTAATAACATGAAAAGAGAAGAAACATATTTATTATGAGATTTTGTTAATTATTAGAGCTTAAAGAATAGATTTATATATAATTAAATAATAAATATATTTAAATAAAATTATAATAAATAATATGTTCAAAATAAAATAATTATATTAATTAAATAACGACGACTGCCTAATTCATCACTGCCTATGCGTAAGCTCTGAAGGCAAAATACTCAACTTTGAAATTGGGTCAATTCTGATGTGCAAAAGTGAGATAAGGCGGGATTTTTGGTAAATTCGTAAAGGTACCAAATGGTATAACATTGTTATGGTGTTATCGGTTAATCCTAGAACTGTGGATTTTTATACCCTCCACAATAGTATGGAGGGTATATTAAGTTTGTTTTTCCATTTGTAACACCTCGAAATATACATTTTAAACCCCACAAAGTATATATTTTCTTGATCAGCATAATAGTCCGTCCGTCAGCATAGCAATGTCCGGCCGTCTGTCCGTCTATCCATCTGTCCGTCTGTGGAAATCACTCTAGCTTCCGAACAAAATGAAGTAAGTTGATAAAAATTTACTCAAGTGTGTATTATGTCTGCTGGACTTTTGGTATTGAATATGGGGCATGTAGGTCCACATCTTCGTCTAGCCCCCATATTACGGTACCCTTCCGATATTCGGTATTTTGATGTTTTTAGCGACATTATTTTCCGGAACTATTTCAAATTTTGTAGTTGAAGTTCGTAATGAATACTACAGCCTATGACAGAAAATTGTCTATGCAGGTCCACGTCTTCGTATAGCACCCATATAACGGTACCCCCCCGATATTCGGTATTTTGATGATTTTAGCAACATTATTTACCGGAACTATTTCAAATTTGGTGTTTGAAGTTCGTAATGAATACTACAGCCTATGCCAGAAAATTGTCCGTGCATGTCCGCGTTTTATAATCCCAATGGTACCTCCCTATATTCTGTATTTTGATGATTTTAGCTACATTATAAATAGATTTTTTTCAAGTTTCGCATTTGAATATTGTAATAGCTTATGACAAAATTTGCCTATGCAGGTCCACGTCGTCGTATAGGCATTTGGTATTTTTAAGATTTTAACAGAATTTTTAACGGATTTTATTTTTTTCTTTTGGAAATTGCTAAATTTGTACCAAATGGCGGAGGGTGTTAAAAGTTCGGCCGGCCGAACTTACAGCTTTTTTGCTTGTTTCTTATGCTTTATTTCTTTTATGTACATGGTAAATATAATAATTCGGTTCCGAATATGAAACTCCATTGGGGAGTTTTTATATTTTGAAGGCATTTCACAGGGTTCAATAACATATTTATTTGAAGCACCAGTTGTAAGTGTCCTTCGCATATGCCAGATTCAATATTTTAAATCTTGACAAATTGTAGAGGACTATCCGAAATAGTGGTAACACACATGACCTATGTTTTATGTAAATAGTACGAATATCACTTAGGGAACAGATATCGACTGATTCAAATTTACGCCTCAAAAAATATCGGATTTAAAAGTAAAGTTAGCAGAACAGAACAGAAACATGTTAAAAAGTATCTGTCGGGTTTTCCGACAGATGTATACCCTCAGCTAATGTACGATTATTTAAAAATATTTTGACTTCTGTTATGATTTTTTAAATACTCAACCCCTTATGGAGTATGTTCCGACGGGCCAATATTCACCATTTCGTATCGGACCTAAACAAATATGATACAAATATTGCGATGTGCCAGGTTTGGACTATATTGGTAACTTCCTTCACTTTACAAGACACATATGATAATTTTTGGAAAATGTGAAAATGTGCGTAAAATACCAAAAATAGATGACCGAAGTATTCCATTTTCATACCTCATCTTATACAGATAAAAATATTGGTATGGGTAAAATTACAAGAAAATCAAACATTTTTATCCAAGTTTATGCGAAATCATAAATTCCACATTCATCTCAGGTTAGCAAGTTCGAAAGAATCTCTGACTTGTTTCACAAGTTAACACAGATAAAAGCTTTGAAACTGTGGCCCTTTGTGGGTGAGGTGCCAGAAAGGGGTTCGCAGATATATATTAACTTCAGAACAGATATTGTGTTAGCAAATATGTTCGAATGTGTGAAATGTGTGTTTTGTTTTTCAAAATCTTGAACCCTAGGCACCAGAAGGAATGATCCGATCTCTACCATCTTTAGACCAGATCTTGTGTTGATGGAAATATTGAGATTTACCAAATCTGAAGGGAATCAAATGTTGATTGCTCGTTTTGTTAGCTTCATGGATATTCAAAATTTAGATCCTTTGTGGAAGAGGTAACAGAAGGAGTACACCGATATATCCCATCTTCACAGCAAATCTTGGGTTAGTAGAAATATTGAGTTGTGTGAATTATGTAGAGAACCGTATGCTTATTTCGGATTTTATAATCGTTTTGGTTATTCAAAACTTTGACTTGTTGTGGAAGAGGTACCAGAAGGAATGGTCCGATCTCTATCATCTTTATAACAGATCTTGTGTTGATAGAAATATTGAGATGTGGCAAGTCTGTTAATTTAAGTTAATTTCGCCTCTTATGAGCTTCTTAGATACTCAAATGTTTGACCCTTTGTGGGGGAGGTCCTAGAAGGAGTGGACATCACACCTTATAAGAGATTTCGTTATTATTTAATTGACACCCCTTGTGGGGGAGGTACTTGCAAATATTAGGATGTACAAGGTTGGAGCAAAATCGGATTCTTTCTCTTTCTGTGCAGTAAAATATTTTCTTTAAAAATTCGACTTTTTGTGGGGGAGGTATCAGAAGGAGTGGACCGATATTGCCCATCACTGAACTCGATATAAGTTTAATGATATTATTATGATGATATTATTACGATGTACTAAGTTTGGACCAAATCGGATATTCCCTTCGAGAGTTATCTTGCACACCAGCAGCCAGATGGGCGGACGGATTGACGAACGGACATCGCTAGACCGATTCCAAATGTCTGGGAACGGATTTGGTCCGAAGAGACCTAGGGTCTAAAACCGTTATTTCGATGAGGCACGTTTTTTCGTATAAAAAGTTTTTTAGTTGTAAAATTTAGAGGGTTAAAATTAATAACCACGTCATAACACAGTTAAAGGTTAAGCATTTTTAAAGGTTGGCCGATTTTTTTAATTTTCTGGTGATTTTTTTAAATTAAAAGACTTCCCTGGAATGTTTATATGAGAAAAAAGTATCATCCAGGACTATCCTTGTTTTGTTAGATTTTTTTTTCGGAAATAGTGACCATTTATCAGCTATGTTGTTTAAAGGAATATCGTTTTGTTTTATCGTAGCTTTTTGAGTAATATTTTTTCCGGGACCATCTTTGATTTTTTATTACTACCTCATTTTGGAATATTATGAATTTTCTAAGAATATATTTTCAAGGACGTAATAATTGATACAATTCATAATAACCGGTTGTATTACTACATTTCCCCATCTCTAATAGCTCATCCAAACAATTTGTTCCTGCCTCTCTTTGAAAATTATGTGCAAATGTTTTTATTAACGATGTTCGCGAGCTATTAAAGGCTGCCATGGAGAGAGAGAGAGCACACACATACATTTTCCCTATTGGCCTTTGCTGTTGTTACTTTTTTAAATTGCCGCATATTCTGCTGGTGTGTAATAATGTTTGGCAGAATTTTCTATCATTTCCACTTCTTTTTTGTTGTTGCTGGATTCTATGGCATGGTTTATTACCTCTCTGTCGCCATGGCTGTTGCAGCTGTCATTTTGTATCCGTTATGTATTTCAAACAGCCGGAAGTGAGTTGTTTTAAAGAGGACAGTTTGTTTATAACAAATATGCCTGTGTTGGTAGTAAGTAACAGTCAGTGTGTGTGTGTGTGTTTGGAGGGTATATTAAATTTGTCATTCCTTTTGTAAAACTTCGAAATATATATTTTAGAGCCTACAAGGTATACATATTCTTGATCAGCATGCATTTCTATATTGATTTAGCGATGTCCGTCCGTCTCTCCGTCAATGGAAATAATTCTAGCTTCCGAACGAAATTAAATAGATTGATGAAATTTGACTCAAATATATATTATGTATGCAGGACTTCTGGTATTGAAAATGGGGCATGTGGGTTCACGGTTTGGTATAGCCCCCCTATAACGATACCTCCCGATATTCGGTGCTTTGTTGATTTTAGCGAC